TTGTTATTATTATTACTATTATTATTATCATTATTATTATTATTTATCATTATTGTTACAATTATATTTTATTTTTCTTTTTTTAGACAATGATTATTACTTTTAGCAATAAAATTTTTTTTCATATTTCTACTAAGTAGGAATTAATTTTAATATTCAAATTTATTGATCATTTAGGATAATTACAATGTTCCCTTCCTTTCTTAGCTCTACTTTAAATATTTCAAAATTATTGAAATCTTTTTTTTTTGTTATTGCTGCTTTTCCTTAATATATTATTAATAATACTGTAAAAATGTCAAAAAGAAAAAAAAAGAATTGTAGAATTCGTAGTATCATTTGTGAATGCGGAAAAATTAAGTTTTGCATTTATAAATTTGTTAAATTACATTTCATTCATTGTTTTGTTTCATTTTAATTTTTTAAATTTTATCTTAAATTTGTAATGAATGTATTAAAAGCATTTGTGCTATATTAAAAGTAGAACAAAAATTAATTGAAATAAATCTCTTCTTCCTGCTATCCATCAAATTTTGCTGAATGGGATGATATTTTGTTGTATAATTTGATATTATAACAATTAATAGTTTAGTAAAAATATTACTAAATTTCAGGTTCAAAGTGGCGGGTTGGTTTTTAGCACGGCTACTTTATCGTTCACTGTAAGTCTTTACATATATATATATATATATATCTTTTTAAGTTTATTTCTTATTATGCGTTTAATTAATTAATAAGCAATAAATGATTCGATAATCTGATATATTAGTAGCAAAATTTTTTTCCAAAAATTTTTGTTACAGTAATAAATCTGGCATAAAACTTTTTTTATAATTTTAATAGTTTTACCATTTAAAAAAAAAAATGAATAAATTTTAAATAGTATGGAATTTTCCGGAAGAAAGTTTGCTAATAATTGTATCACACACATAAAGCAATTCACTTTGACAGGTAATGCATTTTCATTTATGGTGACAGGGAAAAAAAAAGAAAAAATGGAAAGGACATGCTTGAATAATTTCCTTTTTTTTTTGCGATTACATTGAATTGATAAAGAAAAAAAAAACGAAAGTTGCAAACTTTCATTTTTTTTTAGGTTGAATTTTTTCATTTTCCATTAAATGTCATTCCTATCATTGCTATTCCTTACATCATTATTATGCAAATATTTTGCATTAAAAAAAAAAAAGGAATAAATGAAAAGAAGGAAAAAATAAAAACTTTATGATTGTTTAATGGAAAATATTTTTTAAATTAAAAAATTTGAAATGATAAATAAAAAATTGGGATGATAATAAAAGTGATAGAAATGATAATATATGAAATATACACTACTAAAAAAAAAATGAAATAATTGATGGTATATGAGAAATTAAAATACAATTCGAAATAATAAGTTAGGTAAATGAAGAGATAAAAATAAAAAAAGAAAATTCATCAAAACTTTTATGCCAAAATAATTATTTTATTAGATAATTACCCAATCGATATTTTAATGCAAAAATTATGATAATTAAGAATGAAATTAATTAACAGAAATAATTAGATGAAATGAATGTAAAGAAATTTCGAACAAAATATTTTGCTAAATTGAAAAATTACCAGAAGTATATATGAAAAGTTAATCAAAAAAAAAAAAAAGTAAAAAAGTTAAGGTATTAAGTGAACAAAAAAAAAAAAAAAGGAAATAGATAAAATAAAATGCTTCAAAATTGGTTTATATTCGGAAAAAGATTTATGATTATTATTCCTTAAAAGTGTCTCATACAAATTTGTACATAAAATGGGACAATCATGAATGTGAAAAGATCCGGTTTAGTTTTTTTTTTCTCACTTAACCAAGTAGATTTCCATAATGCTTTTATTTGAAATAAAGCTGAAAAAAAGTGGTAATATATCGGAGATAATATTTGGTTTAAATCACTTTGCACCGATTGATCAAAGGTCAAACCATCCAGAAATTTAACAAAAATGGTCACTATAGAGAAAAAAAAACTAAAGAGGTCATTGTTGTTTGAAATATGAAAAGTAGGCAGGTATTGTAATCATTGCATGGCGAGTATTAGAAAATAGCAAGTAAAAAAATTCTCCTAACTAGACAATTAATTAGAAATGCTAATTATTAATTCTTCATTATGCATAACAATGATGGATTTTACGGTGAAACAGGCAGGATGACTTTTTTTTTCTTTCGTCTTTCCGGAAAATTTAATATCCGGAAATGTTACGGATAATATGCATATAGTAACATAATACTAATGTAAATGATATATTTTATGGCAATATGAAAATTTATATTCATTTCTATCCTAATTCAATTTCTCTTAAATTTTAAGTGATCGTTTTTTTTTTTGAGTAAATCAACGTTTTACGGTAATTTATCGTATCAGAGATCATTTTTTTAGATGTAATTCAGAAAAAAAAATGTTTTTTAATGAAGAAAGAAAAAAAACTAATTACTACAACAGGTGCTATTAATAAGCTTGTCCAAAGAAATTGTTTTGGCTAAATGTATCGAGCCAAAGATTACTTAATTAATTTCAGTTTATGCTAAAACCTTGTTTTTATCTCCCAATCAAAACTTTATTTCTTATCAAAAAAAAAAAAAAGCACTAACAATTTAAAACATAAAATAAATCTTATTTTGAAATGGGAAAGGACGAAAAAAGATGATAAAACTATTAACTATTTGAGATAATTAATTATCAAAATTATATCATAATACTTAATTAATTGTAATAATTTTAAAGCAATAAAATGCCAAATACTATATTAGCATTGATATAATAAATATTTCGAATATTAATAATTGTTTGTAAAAATGACAAAAAAAAATGATAAAAATCGTCAAATTTAAAAAACTTTTGTTTTTTACTTACAAATGAAATTTAAGCAATCATTTAAATTTAGCTTAATTTCTTTCATCTAATTCACATTTCTTTCCCTTCATCGCTCTTCATTTTCTTTAATTTGTTAAAGTTTTCTTCTTTCTTTTTTTTTTTTTCATTTTCCTCATCATTCTATTTTTCTTTTCATTTTATCATTATCAGTAAAATGTTCACTTCATTGTTTCATTTTAAATTATTAATATTATAAAATCTTCACCATTTCATTATATTAATCGCATAGTATCACAAATCTTTCTTCCCATTTCCTTTCTTTTTTTTTTTTAAATTTTTAACAAATTCAAAAATTATTGCTATCTATATTTTCATTCCCAATTGGTAAACATATTTTTGAATTCAAAAAAAATATCACAACTTATCATCCTGTTCAGTTTATCATATCATCTAACTTATCATACTGTCTAATATTATTCAATATATTTTATCATATTATCCAATCATGATTTTTATTC